TCTCTCTCTCTCTCTCTCTCTCTCTCTCTCTCTCTCTCTCTCTCTCTCTCTCTCTCTCTCTCTCTCTCTCCCTGTCTCTCTCTCCCTGTCTCTGTCTCTGTCTCTCTCTCTCTCTCTCTCTCTCTCTCTCTCTCTCTCTCTCTCTCTCTCTCTCTCTCTCTCTCTCTCTCTCTCTCTCCCTGTCTCTCTCTCCCTGTCTCTGTCTCTCTGTCTCTCTCTCTCTCTCTCTCTCTCTCTCTCTCTCTCTCTCTCTCTCTCTCTCTCTCTCTCTCTCTCTCTCTCTCTCTCTGTCTCTCTCTCCCTGTCTCAGTCTCTCTCTCTCTGTCTCTCTCCCCCCCCCCTCCGTGTCAAGGCCCAGATGAGGATGATACACAAGGTAAGTTACCTTCCCCGTCGCGTGTTAGGAAGCCTACTCGGAGTGTCACACTACAATTGTTATATTCACTCCAATATTTTGACATTCAACAAACTTTCCTCTGACTTGTAATATGTTATGGAAACCAGTTTATTTTTTTATTAAAATCTCAATTTGTGTTGAAAATAATCTTTACTGCAAGAAAAAATCTTTTAAGACAGGTGAAATGCCACAGCAATCATGGCTCCGTCTTCCTGAGGTGGCGCCGCGGAGCTTCCATCACCTTCCCTCCCACGGTGACCTGGTTCATGCCCCGCCTGCATGCTCACCTGCTTTCTTGCACACACACACACAGCAAGGTCAGTACACACACACACACACCAAGGTCAGTACACACACACACAGTTGAGAGGCGGGCCCAAAGAGCCAAAGCTCAACCCCCGCAAGCACAAATAGGTGAGTACACACACACACACACACACACACACACACACTCAACCGTCAATCAACAGGTGTACATACAGGTTCCCAATAGGCTCAGGAACCTGTACACCTGTTGATTGACGGTTGAGAGGCGGGACCAAAGAGCCAGAGCTCAACCCCCGCAAGCACAACCAGGTGAGTACAGGAATGTGGTCACAGCAACAACACATTCACAGATTAACAGCAGTTCACAGCATCAGAGCTGAGCTACAAGTTATGGGGAAACTAAATGCCCGAGAGATCGTTAGGAAATCGAAAATTCCCCATAGTTACCTTGTGCTAATGGCGGGGAAGAAATGTGGGGAACAAAATTAGTGGAAGTTCTAAGAAAGAAAGTTCTTAGCTCAAGATATAAAGGGTGATACGCGACAATGGGCCACAGCACCGCTCCTGTGCCAGGTAAGTCCACTACGGGCTCACCATAGCCCTTGCTACTTGTAACTTGTTCCGAGTAGCTGAATCTATATAACAACGATAACGGGAGGACCATCCACACATCTCCATTATCATCTGTTGATACTGGTAATGGCTCTAAAGAGCCTCCACTTACGGGCTATTCATGCCCGTGCCACCTTTTGGGTGGCTTAATCTTTATCACTCTATCAACAGGAGGAGACACACCAAGCCTACCACACCTGACCTTCACCAAGACTGAGGTAAACATACACAACTCCAAACATGAAGTACCATTAGGGAAAGGAACTATCAGGAGAGAGCACCAAGTCATTACCATTGTATTGCACTTGAAATGGGTCAGGATAAGGAACTGGGATGGTTCACATCCATCCTGTGGGCGGTAGTGAACCCCCACACCCATCCTGTGGGCGGTAGTGAACCCCCACACCCATCCTGTGGGCGGTAGTGAACCCCCACACCCATCCTGTGGGTGGTAGTGAACCCCACACCCATCCTCTGGGTGGTAGTGAACCCCCACACCCATCCTCTGGGTGGTAGTGAACCCCCACACCCATCCTGTGGGTGGTAGTGAACCCCCACACCCACCCTGTGGGTGGTAGTGAACCCCACACCCATCCTGTGGGTGGTAGTGAACCCCCACACCCATTCTGTGGGTGGTAGTGAACCCCCACATCCATCCTGTGGGTGGTAGTGAACCCCACACCCATCCTGTGGGTGGTAGTGAACCCCACACCCATCCTGTGGGCGGTAGTGAACCCCCACACCCATCCTGTGGGCGGTAGTGAACCCCCACACCCATCCTGTGGGTGGTAGTGAACCCCACACCCATTCTGTGGGCGGTAGTGAACCCCACACCCATCCTGTGGGCGGTAGTGAACCCCCACACCCATCCTGTGGGTGGTAGTGAACCCCACACCCATTCTGTGGGCGGTAGTGAACCCCACACCCATCCTGTGGGTGGTAGTGAACCCCACACCCATCCTGTGGGTGGTAGTGAACCCCACACCCATCCTGTGGGTGGTAGTGAACCCCCACACCCATCCTGTGGGTGGTAGTGAACCCCACACTCATCCTCTGGGTGGTAGTGAACCCCCACACCAATCCTGTGGGTGGTAGTGAACCCCACACCCATCCTCTGGGTGGTAGTGAACCCCCACACCCATCCTGTGGGTGGTAGTGAACCCCCACACCCATCCTGTGGGTGGTAGTGAACCCCACACCCATCCTGTGGGTGGTAGTGAACCCCCACACCCATTCTGTGGGTGGTAGTGAACCCCACACTCATCCTGTGGGTGGTAGTGAACCCCCACACCCATTCTGTGGGCGGTAGTGAACCCCCACATCCATCCTGTGGGTGGTAGTGAACCCCACACCCATCCTGTGGGCGGTAGTGAACCCCCACATCCATCGTGTGGGTGGTAGTGAACCCCACACCCATTCTATGGGCGGTAGTGAACCCCCACACCTATCCTGTGGGTGGTAGTGAACCCCACACCCATCCTGTGGGCGGTAGTGAACCCCCACACCCATCCTGTGGGTGGTAGTGAATCCCACACCCATCCTGTGGGCGGTAGTGAACCCCCACATCCATCGTGTGGGTGGTAGTGAACCCCACACCCATTCTATGGGCGGTAGTGAACCCCCACACCTATCCTGTGGGTGGTAGTGAACCCCACACCCATCCTGTGGGTGGTAGTGAACCCCACACCCATCCTGTGGGTGGTAGTGAACCCCACACCCATGGGTGTGGGGTTCACTACCACCCACAGGATGGGTGTGAATCCCACCCCAAAGTTATATAGCTACGCAGTAAAAAATGGTGAAAAGCTTCAATAGAGATTAATGTATTCATTATTATATCAACAAATAATGGGTTCAAGAAGGACCACAAGTAGAGTATATAAGCTAAGCGACTTATATTTGTGGTGGGCGACTTTTATAATTTGATTAGTTTAATATTGAAATAAATATTGTTTGCCCGAAACGCATTGCGTAATAGTGGCTTTAGGCAGTGTATGTACTAGCTCTATCTATATATCAATCCATTAATGTAACATCACTTGTATGTATATACCTTACCTGAATAAACATCTGAATCTGAATCTGAATATTATGGAATTTGTACGTGAAGGGAAGACTGCCCCATAACCTTCCGTGGAAGATGTGCTTTCCACTTGAACATTATTGCTGCCGGCAGTGACGAGCCATCAACTGTATCCTGGTAATTAAATAAGAAATTTAAATTAAGTGAACGCCCTTAAATTGTTATAAATACCATTCACATAGTGCAACTATATTCTGATTAAGATGTAATAAAACAAAACCTATTTCGGACAAATGGAAAACTGTGATAATATACAGCAACTGATATTTTAGTGCTAATTTTTTGTGTTAGTAATTGGGAATAGATTATATAGGTGATGTATGTAAGTTGATGTTCTATGTCAGCTGAGCTGGGAGTTACCACACACCTCTCTTTAATTGACATGGTATTTAATTTTATACATTAAATAAGGCCATGAAAATAAAAGAAACCACTTAATAAAAGCAATGCCTCTAACAGGCGAGTTTAACATGATTTATATTGTGGGGAGATGAGAGTTTGGGAGACTATAGAGGAGTGAAATATTTCCTTCAAGTGTGGTGAGTCATGTGAGACTCAACATTCTCCCGCCAAACTTCCTCTGCCGCCCTGATTGGCTGCACATGTGACGTCATCAGCAACAAATGCAGTTGATTATGGAAACAAACTATTAACTTTATCTCACAATCGGGTTATTTATAATAAGAAATTTAACATGAAACTTAAAACTCGACATTGATAATTTATTTATGTGTTTTTAATTGAAATATATATCGAAGGATAATCCAAGGATTATGAATGGTTCCTCCATGTAAAATCCATTGTGGTCACGTGACCCGGTGTTTCGCGCCATCTTTGCCGCATGTTCGCCTGTCTGGCTCCGGAACTCGTAGAGAGAAGGTCAGTTGCTGTAACAGTTAAGGCCTCGCCGTTATTGATTTACGCCCCACTTCCTCTCCACCTCGTGAGCACACCAGCACAACTCTAGGCTGGGTTTACTGCCTTATGTCCGCAGAACATTGTGTTGCGTGGTAAAAATTGTTAGGCATTCCAAGGCCGCACATTTTAAAAGCGCGGCAATGCTGGAAGTCTAGTGAGCGCGGCGCATGTTCTTGTTTCTGGCGTTATTTGTGTAGGAAGGCGACTGTCGAGGGCGTGGATGAGAGGTGGTAGTGTGGGCGTGGAGAGGAGTGTGTGGGCGGCCATGGTGGAGGGTGACAGTTATGGAGGGAGGCCAGCTGGCCGTGAGGTCTTTGTCTGGTGCTCACGTGGAGCACAGCCGCCATGCGCCGCCCGCACCCTCCACCATCAACCACCCTCGCCCACCATTACCACACCCTCACACTCCTCTCTAACACCTCATAATCTAACATCAACTAACACATCAAATTATCACCCCCTAAATCGAGGTGTAGGAATATTTTGACTACGGTTTAATTTTTGGATGCGTGTGGAGCCACCGGGGTGTTGAAGTGTAGCATTACTGGGGGTGGTAATGTGGCGGGGAAGGTGTGGGGGTATAGGGTGTGGGTGTGGGGGGAGTGTATGGGGTGGTCACACTTTAGGGTGAGGGCTGCGTAGGCCGGCCACCATCACCTGGCTCCCGCCGCCCGCCTCTCCCTCACTACTCTTGTACTTCTACACCCTCCAACACTTAAATCTTGGTCCTCACTCGCCAACAATTGGTGGGTTAGCTTAAGTTCTCTTTATTTGGTTTGATAAGTGAATGTATAGCTTATACATACAAAAACTGGAAATTAAGTATTGAGAGTTAATGGTTGAATGAGTAATATAAAGGCAAGTGTGTGAACTTGGTATGGCAGGCTTGAAAAATAGCCTTGACACCTGGAGAGGTTTGATGTAGATGGGCACTGCCCAGTTTGGGCTGACATGCCCAATGGTGTAGCTCCTCTGATGCAGGCAACTTCATACCTAAGACTTAACAGATTTTAAAATCTAACTGAACATAGCTTATCCTGGCAGTTTTAACACCTAGAAAAGTTGATTTGTTGCAATGCCACCCAGCAACTTGACGACTGGACGGTAGTGATCTCGCTTCTTGCGGGTCTGCATTCAATCAACTAAAGTGGTTGGGAACCATTATTTTTTGTCCTAACCTAATTCCTTATCCTCCTAGCCATTTCAAGTACTACATAGTATTAGTGGCTTAAGGCTTTCAGATAATTACCATGTTGTGTTAGTGTCCTTAGAATTTGATGGTGTCCTTACTGGTGTTCTTGCACATGTTCAGAAGCATCATAAACCAGTTTTGCTACTAAAACTATGGTGCTGGTCACATGCCATATGCACTAATTTTTAGTATGGTCACTTAGTTTAAGAATAACAATGTTCACTTTTCGTGATCCTACTGTTCCAGTTTTGAATGTTATATTTTGTGGTGGTCACCGCTCTGCAGTATAATGCAGCATGATTGCATTAAATTATGTATTTTTAAATGCATGGCTTGACTAAAATGACTAAATGCTGGGGAACCTAGTAGTTGACTACGTGTCCAATACTTAAGGAATCTGATTTTGGGTGTATTAAATTGCAGAATATTCCTGGCTGTTAATAGGCAGTCTGTATCAGTGTTGCTTTCATCTTTCATTTCATTTTCATTCAATTGTGCAGAAGTATTTTGCTAGCCATAAATTTGAGTCTGGAGTATGAAGTGTAGTACGGTATAGGCTTCTCGCATTCTTTGTGGTCCTCTGGTTATAATTTACTATCTAACTACCCCTAGGATATTGTAATTTCTTTAAAACCTGTTCACATAATTTGTAGGTTGAATAGCCCATTTTCTCCTATTCCATAGTTCATAATGTAGCATTTATTTAAATTAGTCATCAGCTAAGTGTTGCTCCATCCAGGTCATCTTGGACACACCAATTGTTTCTCTATTGGTAGCTTGGAATCTACAAACATTTTTATATAATTCTGTACTTCTGGTAGTGTATTCACATAGAAAAAATTATTACTGGTGTTAGAAACTGAACTGATGTGCATCTGGTTACTACCCACATTTGTAAATTTTTCAACCATGTCATATCTCACCCTCTCCAATATATATTTGTTTATAGAAAACACCTATATGGGGGTGTCAAGCCTTCTATAGGTCAATGTATAAATGAAATTCTATAAATGCCATCAATCCATCACTTGTCTTTTAAAATCTTTACTCTTATAGAAACTGATTTATACTGGATCTTAGTGTTCAAAAATTAGTATCAATCTCCAGGTTTTCTACCCATTGGGTTTTATTTTTCCAGTGATTCAAATAAATCGTCAATATCAGTCTGTTGAGGGTCTTATCATTTTTTCAGATTGGAACAACTTTTTCCATATCTGCCAAGACTCCTATATAAAGAAACATGAAAAATTGAAGTACAGAACTATTTGAATGCTCAACTCTGCTATAAGTTGATTGTGCATTGGAAATTATATTGATGCATTGAGAATTGAAGAATGCTAGACTTGGCATTCTCTCTGAAACTCCATCTGGGCCAACTGTTTTATTTACTTGCTTTCCTTGAGCATAGTTTTCATTGTTCATGCCTCCTATGTACCCCCACATCGCTCTAAAATTTGTATAGATTCATTGGAAACTTCATGTCAAAATCTTTGTAACAAAATGTAAGACTCCTTCCCGATGAAGTACTAAATATAGCAATGATGGAACATCCTCCATTGTTGTGGGCTGTTTTACATGTTGATGCAAGAGATTTTGGATAGGGTTTATCCATTGGATGGTTCAAAAGTCCTGTGCATGTATAGGCTTCACAGTATAAATTTCAAATTTGAAGTTGCCAAGTATCAACATTTGATTTCTTTATCTTTGGCCCTTTTTTTGTCATCTAGCTCCTTAGGCAATGTATTGCTTGCTGATGAACTGTAGGCAATAAGGATTATTAGTGTAACATTGATAGATCTCTTGGCATCATTGTTGAATTCAGTGGTTAAGTATTGATACTCTTGCTTTAGTGATTTGGAACCATTTATAATTGATGAACAGACAGCCAGTGTATTTATACATGTTAGGCATACTGTATATCAAGGTCCCTTGCCCAGGATACAACTCCACAAGAAGCTGACTAAATCCTGAGTACCTACGTACTGATAGGCAAATAAAGGGATTAAGCAATAGGCAATGTGCACAGCCACATAGGCTCTATACACCACCTATCCACATAGGTTTCAAATGTAGATATGATAGAGCCCAGTAGGCTCAGGAACCTGTACAGCTGTTGATTGACAGTTGAGAGACGGGACCAAAGAGCCAAAGCTCAACCCCCGTAAGCACAATTAGGTGAGTACAGCCATTTCTGTCCTGCCTGGGATTTAAATCTGGAATTCTCAATTGTGCAGAAAACAACCCAGACTGCTACTGGGACCCTGCATTATAATTAATTATAATGCATTTAGCCCTGTATTAGAAATAATTTAAGATAGCAATTTCTTAATCTCTTCTAATTTGTCTCCAAATAGCTTAGCTCCTCGGGAATATTGTCTTGCTTAAAATTCTTTCATTGCATTTATGCATATACATTAACTGGCATCTTAAGCTGTACTCTAGTATTTAGTCTGAAGTATGAATCTTCATACTTCACTGGTAAATTATGATTTCTGGTGTCTTAAATTGCATTTTTCATTTAATTAAATATTTTAATGCAAAGCCCTAAGACACTTTGTTCCTTTCTTCCAAAATGTCTGTTTTTTCAAGGAGTTTAATGATAGTGGACCATGTCCTCTGAAGAGGGTTTACTGGAGAAAACCAAATATTAGTGACAATAAGCTGTTTATTGAAATTCTTTGGTTTCTAGTAGCATTTAATTTAATAAGTTGGCATGGTTTGTAGTAATCAATGCATTCTCAGAAATATGGCATGCTAGCTAGAGATTTTGAAAATATAAATTTCCTTAGTGTCATGACTGCTTGATTGGCTTTGTTTTATTTGGTAATAATCAAATATGGTTATTTGAGTTGGAGTAAAGGATTACAGTATACAACTACAGAATTATGAAAATCCCCAAATCAGGATTATGTATATTTTCTCTTAAAGCATTTGAAGTAATATGGATTAACAAATTAAAATGTTAGGTTGTGTAAGATGCCTTTTATAAATTGTTACCCAGAATAACAGCCAGTTAAAGCTCTGCTCCTTTGCCAGGTAAGTCCACTACGGGCTCACCATAGCCCATGCTACTTTGAACTTTGTTCAAAGTAGTTAAATCTAAAACATTATTTCTACAATTCTGCGCTGAGCAGGGTAAAGTGAGTATTGAGCTATACTAAAGATGATACAGCACAAGGGATTTGAATAATACAGTACAACCGTTGTGATGGGATCCCTGGTTTCAAAGGTTCTTGTAATCCTATAATTTTTCTGGGTAATGCTGTATTTGCTTGGTTATGACAGGTACTGTCAGACAACAGTAGGTTGTCAGATCATTATTACCAGATCCTTTCTTTACATGCTGCTTTCCTGCTATGGGCAGATTTGATTTGTCCCCTGGATTTTGTTTGGTCCTCATTTTTACTATATTTAAGTACCTGGCATTTATCACTTGTTACAAATCAATATTTTCTGCTGCCCAGTCAAAAAATTTATTAATACCTGCTTTATCAGTCTTCAACAGAAGTAATTTTCATGCTGGTCTTTTTATCTGCAAAAAGACACAAAGCTGTGACTTGTATTTATGTATGTATGAAAATAGGGAAAAGCAGTGGTGCAAGGACTGTACCATGGTTTATGGAATTGTAACCAATTATCCTGCAGTTCTAGTGTCACTGACCCTAGAACCCTATTCTTGTGGACCCAAAAACTTCAAAGACATTAATCAGAAAAATTATGTAATTACCTTTAATATGCTCAAGCAATTTTTTTTTTAATTTCAGAATTTGACCACTTATAACAATGGCTGATCCAGAGAAGGGAACAACGGCAGAAGCACCACCACCACCACCACAACCCGCTGCTGCTGCAGAGGAAGAGATGACAGAAGAAGAAATGGAAGAGGTAGAGGAGGAAGAGGGTGGTGAGCGCAAGGAGCTGGTAGACAAACTAATGAAGGATCCTCAGGTGCTGGCTGCCCTCCAGACCAAACTCCGTCGCTTCCTTGGCACTCCCTCGGGTTACATTAGTGTAAGATGCAGGGGTGGAGATTTGATTTAATCGAAAAGATTAAATCATTAATTTATAACTTTAGCAATAATGCTATTAGCTTTACTCCATACCCATCTGCATGGGGGTAAATACAATCACACAAGGCATAATTTTTTGAAGAATATCGAATCAAGTTTTGTTGCTTGGCTTTTGCCAAACTAAAATCATATATTTAGTAAAATATAATGCTGTATAGCATAAATTTAAATGTAAGGATAGGATTAACACTGCCTGCTAAGAAAGTATAGATTTAAATGCATTGGCACGTGCGCGTCTGGGATATAGTACTAATTTTTATAATAGAAACTTACATTAAATATTTTCTGCTACATAATTTTTGAGCCATGCCTTACTGTCCAGATAGTTGGACTATAGTAATTATATATTGCATTAAAGCAACTTCATTGTATAGGTTCTTCTATTTCTAAATAAAAATAACTACACAAATGCATTTACAGTGCATAAAGCATGAATGCATTGCTAAAATTTCAGATTTAATTTTTGGCGCAATAAGATTAAGCACTTTCTGCAGTCAATTGCTTGCCCAAATATGAACAGATAAAAACTCCACTGCCATATTGAGCTATATTTAGTGACCCACATTTTTCTATCCCCCTCCCAGTGTTTGTGCATGTTTAAGAGTAAGGTAATTTACATAGTAGTATAATAGTCATGTGAATGTTGAGGCTTTAACATCTGGTAAATGCCTGTTTCTACAATGGTCATTCTTGTTTTAACTTGCATTGCAGTTTGAATTAAACTTAAGTTAAATACAGTAAGCTTCATCTTGTATGCAAGTGCTACTATTAATCCTTGATACTGCCATAGCTTAAGCAGCTTGTGTACTTTGGTATGCCTTTGCATCTCATATTTGGTTTAGGGTGTTGGAGCTGTAGTTTGGGTAGTAGTATGTTTAGCTTGCTTAATACTTTCATTTTTAAATTGCTTACCAAGATGAGCTGCTGCTTGTTTAATTGTTGCTGGTATTAGTTACTGCCAGTTTGGACAAATGTTAGTTATGACTGGTTCATTTTAAGCATAAATTTCTCAAATATAAAAGTAACAAGATTGAAGGTTTGAATTATTAGTGTAGTAACATTAAATGTAGATAGCCACTAGAAATAATAAATTAACTTTTGGAGCTTATCACCTTTTAGGCTTTTAATACATTTTTTGTATAGTAATGACTGATATTTTTTCCATGCCAACTTTTTTTTTATAATATAACTGACATGCTAAATAGTTATTGCTTTTATGTATTTTTGATACTTAAACGTTGATGCACAGTTTGCATTTGCTCCAGTTTCTGGAAACAAATATAGTAAAATATAGGTAAAAGTAATTGAAATAGCTAATTTCTCAATTTAAGAACTGTTAAGGACCTCAAAGGAGTAATATTTGTCAATGAAAAATTGTGGCATACCAAGAATAATATAATTTGTAAAGGGCAGAAACTAACAGTTCAGTGGGGTTACGACCAAATTTTTTTTTTTTTTTTTCTGGGATAATGTACCCTTGATGCTAGGTACCTGGATAGCTTGACCCAGTTCAAGCCATACCAGGTTCTTTTCTTTATTAGCCTACCAGAAGCCAAAACCTGGGGTCCCAGCTCCATGGGGGTGCAAGAAGCAGGACGATAGGTCACAAACCTAGAGAAGGCCATGAGATTGGCAAGCCAAAATGATCATTGAGGTAAACAAATCCTAGACAAAGAAAAATTAGGCACCTAGCAATTAAAGGGTTCACTTAATTACATGTGTAATGAGTGATTATCTAATTGGGGGTGATTATACATCACTACAATCCCCTTCTTTCCATTTAATTAGGCTCACATTAATAGCTAAATGGCATAATGGATCCAATTGTATTTTCAGTCTTTACCACTAGCAGTGAAGAGACGTATAAAGGCATTAAAAAAGCTGCAGCTCCAATATACTGACTTAGAGGCAGAATTCTACAAAGAAGTTCATGCTTTAGAGGTAAGGTTGTAGTTTTGGTTAATGCAGGTATGGCAAACAAAATTATTTTCAGATACATTTTTTAGTTTAATATTTAATCTATATTAATATTTAATCAACTTGTAAAGTTTAGTATACATTGGCAGACAATTTACTTTTAATTTTGGGTGCTTGTACCGATTATTCCGATAAATAAGGTAATGTTTTTTAGTTAATTAAACCATATTTAAATTAATATTTTAACAAGTTTGAGGATCCAAGTGTTAAAGCCACTTACTGTACACATGAATGCTGCTAAATACCTTGAAAAGATTAGTAGTTGATGCAGATAATCTACAGTATTACAATTGACATCATTGAAAGATTATAAATTACTACAGTTTCTTTTAAATAAGTTTCCAAATTGTCTGACATTATCCTTCCCTCTTCACTTATTTTCGTAAGCACTAGCCATTTATAACATTTATTGTTTAGCTATTATTATTTAGCCATCTAGCCATAAATTTTGAATTTCCTTATATGCCACTGTTTAAGAATTGCACCAAAATATTTATATTGGTTCTTTTTGCAGGTTAAGTATGACGCGATGCACCAAGCCTTGTACGAGAAACGAAAACTGGTTGTGAACTCCGAATATGAACCAAATGATGATGATTGTGATTTCCCTTCAGATGATGAAGAGGAGGAAGATAAAGCTCTTAGTAAAGACATGGAAGAAAAGGCAAAAATAGATGAAAAAGAAGAACCAAAGTGAGTTTAAATGTACTTTCATTGATTATTAATTTGATTTACCTTTGACAAGAAAATTCAAGTTCAGTTCTTAAATTTAATAGCTTTTATTTCTTAGGGTGCACGATTTTGATGAAAACACAAAAGGCATCCCAGAGTTCTGGCTGACTATCTTCAAGAATGTCGACCTACTAGCAGAGATGGTTCAAGATTATGATGAACCCATTTTGAAGCATTTAACAGATATTCAGCTGAAGTTCCATGATGAGCCAATGGGCTTCACTCTAGAGTTTCTCTTCAGTGAAAACGAGTTCTTCACGAACAAGGTTTTAATAAAGCATTACGAGATGAAATGTGTTCCAGACAAAGATGATCCCTTTGGATTTGAGGGGCCAGAAATTTTTAAATGCAAGGTATGTTGGTTTAGTGAATAAAAGATTGCTAATTTTAACTAGGTTATTGCCAATGTTAACCGGTTTAAATTACTGTATTTGCCGGTGTATAATTTATTAATATATAATGTATATTGTGTATATACACACACAGTTTGTGTGCTTTTCTCCTACCACCTCCTTCCTTTTATTTATTTGTTTATATATATGTATATAAAATTAAATTTGAAAAATGTGCCTAAAAAATTGGCCTGCATCTAATGCAGCTGTATTACAGATGAGTTTCTAGGTAGTGCTATCAGGTTTATTCTTGAATATGGATAATCATTTTTTATATTTAGCCATTGCAGCATGTCAGTTTTTACTGTGACAAACTATTTAAACCTTCAATAAACAGTTTAGTTTTGTTTTGCTAGTAGCTTAAACAGTAATTGGTCATTTGTTTGTTGTTGTTGGAAATGACACTTCAATGTCTTTTCTTTTCAAGGTAATAAAATTAGCTAATCAGCATTTACATTGGTATATTCGTTACAGCCTATCTATTTGTTTTGAATTTCATAAAAATTAAGACTTGCAAAGATAGCAGTGTAATTCTCAATGTAGCATGTCAATTTGATTTTCCCATCAAAAAGGTCACAAATCCATTTAGCCTTTTTAATACAACTTTAATTCACTTTTCAATAACGTCAATTTTTGTCAGAAACTAGCAACAAAAGTATTGATGCAATTTGTTTAATTTTCTAAAATCAGATGCCTGCTGAAGTAACTATACTGCTTTCTTAGAAGCAATTCCTTCATGATGCATCCGTGTTGTAATATAATCCACAACCATTAGTAAGTCTATTAATAAATTGCTTGCATAAAAGGCCTAACTTGTATTGTCAAAATTTGAAGTTGGGAGATCTTGCCGGCTTATATGGAAGACTTGTACTAAAAACTGCATTGATCTAGTAGTAGGCATCCATCAGTCTTAGGAAGAGTATGGAGTTGTGCTCTGGTTGTCGGTCTGGGAGTGGCCTCTCCAGGGCGCAAAGCCAGGATAGGTTGATACGGGGGAGAAGCTGTTACCCAGACAGCAGGTCCCCCGCCCCCTCGCCACGGCTGACCTATAGTTTAGTAAAATGTATTGATTTTATCAAGTATTTTGCATTTATTTTTGTGCCACATGTTCAAGTATTTTTTTTTTTACATAAATGAAAATTAAACTGCCATTAAAGAACACTTTAGCAACATCCAGTATAGCTATATAGCCACTGCACAAGTGCTTTTTTCAATTACATGACCTTCATTTTATTTCTTGCTCAATATTTTAGGGATGCTCCATAGACTGGAAAAAGGGCAAAAATGTAACTGTTAAAACAATAAAGAAGAAGCAGAAGCATAAATCTCGTGGGGCAGTTAGAACTATAACTAAAACTGTGCAGAATGATTCCTTCTTCAACTTCTTCAATCCTCCACCAGGTGGGTGCAAATGTTCACAACTATCCTGCTCTTATAAAATGTCTGCAATGAATGCTTTTGTATTTTGTGTAACTATCGTGCCAGTGATGTTTATTTGTGGCAGTCTCCCATGTTACTAACTTGTTGAATAATTGTCAATTGGTTTTTAAGTCTTAGCAAGAAAAATGTTAACATGAAATAGTGGGTATTTACTGTTGACTATAATGTTAGTAGGGAAAACTTGATGGAATATTTTTTAACTGGTAACTCCTTAAATGGAAGGTAATGTTTCCCATAGATTTCCAATGCCCATTGTTTGTAATAACCTGAAGTATATAGTGTAAATATATTTTCTTGCTACTAATGTCTACATTCTAAATAAAATATAAATATTAGTTGATATATATTTTAGGAAGTTTTAGTTGAATGAGTTTGTATAATTATCAAATAGTTCCCGAGGACCCGGATGAAGATATGGATGAAGATACCCAGGCTTTATTGACGGCCGACTTTGAAATCGGTCACTATATCCGTGAGCGAATTGTTCCCAGAGCAGTCCTCTTCTATACGGGCGAAGCATTAGATGACGAAGATTTTGAAGAGGAAGAGGGAGAGGAAGGTAAGAAGTCGTATATTCATTACCAAGTACCAAGCATTGTGGCACAACTTGCTGCTATGTAAAATATCTTAACGTAAACATTCATTGAAGGAATTGACTGGTCCACAAATGGAAGTCAATATCAGTTTCCTAGGAATATAAATGTTGTCTTTGAATTAGTATTAAAAAACCAGGTCATTTAGTAGTCGGTTACCTTTTAGGGTGTTTAATGTTTTAAATTCAGATTAGTTTATAAAACTATCACTAAGTTCCAGGAAGGCTTAGTGGGTGGCTGGAATTAACATGACCTTTTACAATTGTTGAAAGCATGTGTTATAGACAACCAGCTTTGCAGATGTGGCTAAATCTGGTAGTTAATGTTTTCTTTGAAGTGCTGCAACTGTATCCAAACCCTTAGCATATAAGAGTGAATGTAATGGCTAAAATCTGACAAATGAGGACCTACTGGGCTTCAAATGATGCAAATATAGGCAAGATTAGGTTTAATTCAATGGACATGTCGAGCAGTAGCAAAGAGCTGGCTTATTCGATCTTCTGGGACTAGTAACAAAAATGTTTTATTGGACAATTTATGCTGGCAAACCCATTTGTGGTCCCAGGATGCATCTAACTGGACAGTTGACGGTAAGGTTTTGGATACATCAGGTAATGGCCTATGACATTAAAATTAGTGTAATAGCATGTTAGTTTTTGATGGTCTTACAGATGTTAGCGCTAAACGGATTAAATATTTGTAATACAGTGTCAGTGTCCCTTCCCCAAATTGAAATTTTTTTTTTTTACTTTAAGCTATTAAGTGTTCTTTCAGAGTAGCACATGATTGTGGAAAGGTGTTGATGTGGTCTGACATTCCTCAGAGATGATTAGAGGGGTAGTAGTTGTGTAACTTAAGACATTAATATTATACCGAACCCATAGTAATGTACCATAAAGTTTCACTAGTGTAGCCACACTTATCCCAGAGGCTACTAAATATTTTGACACTTCACCAAAAATGTGGCATCACCAAAATTACCACAAATCAGAATGGGAAAATATTATTTTCTTCGGTAAATGAGTAATTTGTATTATCATTTATGGAAAATGAATACAAAATCACTAAACTCATTATTTAGTCTTGTTTGGGCATTTGGAGCAGTGGTCACCATTCCTTCTAACATTTGTCAATTCAATTTATTATGCACCCATAACAATCCCGTGGGCGGTGGTGGAAAGGGTTAGAGGGGCACATAAATTGGTTCAGGAACTGAACCCCCCATAGTTGTTTGGCTAAGCAAGAGAAGACTTTGAAGCTAGGCCCGAAGGTTTTTCTTAAATAATAAACCTGTGCAAAGAATAAACATCTTGGGCCAACATAAATCTGCTTAAATGCTATGAGTGTATGGTAGGAGACCAGGAGCTGAAAGATGTATGACTTTTAATTTTGTAGTTTTCTATGATGCCATTGCACTCTGACCTGGCATACAATGGTGCAATTCATTGTGGGCTTTCCTCCCCAATTTCATTAGTTTCAAAGCTGTGTACGCTGATACCTCCACCAGTTTCTTCTTGAGCCTTCCTATTGGTTCGATTCCAGGAGTGTTCCTCTTAATTGTCATGTTCATAACCATTCATCCCAGCCTTCCACTGCTTGCCTTATTTGATGCTTCTCAACACATTTTTTCTGTAACTGATGCGAGACCCTCTAGGCGAAGGACATAAAAGGACAGTTACCCTGTGGGGAAGGGGGTAGCAAATGTCGAATATCTTTTTCCTAGTATCATATCCAGCATTGAAGGAACATCTTCCTTTATTCTCCTAGCTTTTAAAGTGTTGATATATGTCTGTAGGATGGTTTAGGAAAGTCCTAGTAGATACCTACCTTGAGGTGCTTCCGGGGCTTAGTGTCCCCGCGGCCCAGTCGTCGACCAGGCCTCCTGAAATTCCTACTTGATTCCTAGTAGGAATCTATAAGTCCAAAAGTTCTTGATTTGCTTTAATCTCCCTCAATTCTTTTCAGTGTATTTATACACGTGTTTGCTGTAGTATATTATAACTAACGTCTGTAAACAATTACTCTAGTAATATTTTGCCAAAATGAAGAGCTGATTTGGGTGGACTAGAAAGAACCATGTAAATGTGCTTATTCGATAAGCCTGAATTTTGAAAATCACCTGGCAAAGCACAAGAATATTTAGGCCGAAAGATTTACAAAGTTACCAGAGATTAGAGAAAGGAACCGAGAATAGAATTAGCAGTCACTGAAATTGAAAATACTAGACCAGAGTAAAACATATTGAGGTTAATGATGGGGGTAATAGGCCTCCAGGTTAGGGATAATTGACGTGGAGAGAGCGGGTGTACCCAGACAACACTTTGGAATGCAAAATGGCATAATGTAAAATTAAGTTATTCCATGGGTTGTAAAACTTCTACTAGTTTGAACTAGTAGAAATGACAACTATCAGTGTTACACGTGAAAGTACGACATAACTAGCAATTTGTACAATGCTCCAGGTACAATATTCGAGACAAGAATCATGATATTAACTGTGCTCCTTGCAGACTCATTTAGGTAAACAATTGTGATGGAGCGCTCATGCTTTTATTCTAGGCCCAACCATTTGGACTGGAGGGTAAAGTGGTGATCTCACCTATTACGGTATCGGTCGGCATTCATTCGCCAAATGTTCCAATAATTGGTCACGACTTTTTTTTTCCCCAACTCAAATCCTTACCCTTTATTCCAACAGTGGCATAATGGCTTTGTGCCTTCCTGACTGGTACCTTGCTCTCGTCCTTGCGCGCTCTCCCTCGCACGCTGCCTCTCGTCCCCCTCGTGCGCTGGCTCACGTCATCGCACGTTCTCTCGCGCGTGCGCTGGCTCTCGTCCTTGCTATAAAATTCAATACAGTACCTTATTTTTTCATTTTCATACTGCTACTTAATTCATAAGTTTAATATAATGCAGGTATGTGATTTAACTACGGATGGAAGGGCTGATTTGATCAATGGTCTCCTTTCATTCAAATCTGGTGAGAAAATATTTAGTGGTTGGGGTAAAGAGTGGGATGGTTCTTGGTTAGATTTGCTCACTTTAAACTCGCCCATTCACATTCTTGGTAGCAGTAGCATCTCCTTGAAGTATGTCTATGCAGCATGGTTTAACTGTAGTTACCAAGGCATTCATTCTTCCCCATAGTGCTACACCAAGCATGTCTTCTGGAATACAGTGAACAGCTTTAGCAACACTTTGCATTCCAGTTGCAGTTCATCACTTCAGATGTTCTTTGTGCACGTGTGTACAAAGAATTGCAAACTAGGACCTAAATTACCTAAAGCCCAGCTCTGTAGATAAATATTTTAAGTTTCTAGGGAGAAGTAAATAACCCAGTTCCAATACCCGACAGCATTTGTATAATTGGTATCTGTTAATTTGATGGGTAGATTATGGCTCTTAACCCACTTATCTGGCACACTTGACCTTGTCATGAGGTAAATGCAATATATATTGTTTAATATCTGCTAGTCAACCCTAAATTTTCTTTTTTTTTATTCAGCGTTTTTAGTTCATATGCATCACGTTTTGTGAATTTTGTTGCTCAAACTCTGCATTATTGGAGTACACAGTCGTCCATACAAGTGTGCATGCTGTAAATATTCCCAAAGCCATGTACGTCTTCAATGCACCGTTTTCTCATGAAACTACATCGAGGGAAAAGATTCCGGACGTTCCGTCCCCACACCATGACCATTTTCTTTTGTTGCATGATCACAGAAGTGATAAGTGCAACATATTCATAAGGGCTTTAAAACTAAGTAATGGCTCTTTTTTTCAAATGTGGCGGGGTGGGGATGGCCACCATTTTCCACACTTCAATGATCACAAAGGGAAAAAAGTTTAGTAACCTTAAGAAAAAAAACAGGGGAGGTCATACTGGTTTGGACTGTGTTGGAAATAAAGTTTAAGATTGCTAGGTAACATAATAGAAATAGATGGGGTTGCTAAATTCTTTTAAATGTAGGTTAGACAAATTTTTGGTTGGGTATAAAAGTAAATTGTTGCATTGGCAAGTAGCCTGCCTGCAGTTTCCTTTCCTTTCCTTTTTTTTTTTTTTCTCTCTCTCTCCTCCTTGGCGCTCCCTTCCCAACTGTTTATGCTGCACAAACTACATGCTTACAACTACTCATTGTGTGCCTCTAGTTGTATGGTTGACATGACCTTCACTAGATACTCTTAGCACAAGTGTGGGGGCAAGCACCTTCAGTAATTTTGCTGTACCTAAGACCCTGAATTCTTTCTAAATATTTAGAAGACTCCGGGTCCTACCAAACTAGACATAAGGGTGCACTTGAAACTGTTGGTTGCCTATATTTTTCTTTAGGTCAAATTTGCAAGATACTGCTCACGAGCCAGAGCCCACAACTGTTAAAATATAACATGGCTGTAAAATTTTACACAGCATGTAAATGTATATTGAAAATTGAATCCTTTGAAGCTAGCTGGCAATGCAGATATGTTAGACCTTGATATCTGATGCCTAATGAATTTGGCATCAGACTCTGTTGCATCATATTTCCCATTGGTTCAGTTTTCAAGAGTAGGAATGGACTTCAGATAAATTAAACTAATTATAATTGCACTAGAAACAAGAATCTTATCAGCTGAAAAGTAGAGAAATAGGTAAGCCAATGTGGTGAAGTATTGAGAAAATACTTTATTGGTGGAGAAGAACTTGTATTGAAACTAGATAAAATGATGAGTATGAAGTGTGTTAGGTGGTTGTTGGCACTTGTTGCAGTTATGCATGTACAAAATTATGGATATGAGTACTCTTTATCAAAGTTGTACCATATAATGGCTTTTACTTTTTAATTTGTAGTGTCATCTTCCAAAAGTATCTTAAATATTTAAATGTATTTTAGCATGTTGAATTATTGTGATCTTTTTGTCTTTTGACTCTCTATGGAAAGCTTGGTTAAGTTTAAATATACTGTATTTTAGTAGGACGTTTAACTTGAATATGACCTATTCTGCATTTACAAAGCTTGAGCTTGGGTAATAGTTAATTTTACAGTAGTATTACCATGTATTTAGGCTTTGTACAGGAATTGCCTTTAGGGGTTTGACAAATTTACACACACTAACCACCACCTCAACCTTTGCTCAAAATAGAATATTGGAGGAAGTGTTCCTTTACCAGTTATAGCTTTGGTGTTAATTTAAACTTTTCTCCCCCTTCATCTATACCTTCTGGTGTTCAGTTTTAACACTATAGTGGTCCTGTCTCACGTCCAGCACCCAGGTGTCATCATCCCACACACTGATGCAGAGTTCAGTTTGCATTGGTGTGTTGGTGCTGAATATACAAAAGTATTAGAAACAATTAAATGCTTCATTATCAATTTTTATATGGAAAGGAGTAATGTATAGCTGTAACACACACACACACACACACTACTTTCAGTAGCTCTGGTAATTTGTAGTTCCCTGAAGTTTATGCATGAATGTGTGGATGGGACACACCACTGCACATAAAAATAATCACTAATGTCATTCAACAGCATTAAGGTCTTTGCAAAAGTTAGTTTCTTTAACTAGTCTTTAACTAGTCTTTAACTAGTTTCTCTTACTTTTAATGAAGATTATGCTACAAAGGCTCAATGCATCTTTTATTGAATGATTAAAAAGGTATGTGGCTAATATTTAAATTATGCCATGCCTCTAAAACTTTCCTATACCTGGTAGGCACTTTGGCAGAAATGTTGCCTAAAGTACTGTAAGTTGCCTAAAAGTACTGAAAAGTTGCCTAAAGTACTGTGTATCATTACAAATGTTTGTGCAATGTACTTAGGATTGAAGTTGTAGACCATCTAAGTACATCCATTCACATTATTTAATATAGATGTTAACACTTTCGCGCTCTCGGCGCTCGAAAAAAAACAATACCCCAGATGCTTTCGGCACTTTGCGCGCCTACGCGGTAAGACCGAAAAGTGTACACTCTTTTGACTGTCCTGACAATAATTGAAGGCGCATGTATTTAAATTTGGTATCACTGTGTTCGCAATGAAATTGTCTATAAGAGCATACCTATAAAATGCAGCCCAAGCATAAGGAGTATCAACACCAAATAAAAAACTATGCAGATCACTCGCCGAGAGCGCCAAACAGCAACAAAATGTTTCCACTCTCTTAATCGTTGCGAAGCCTACAGTTGTCCTACATCGCTAATTTTGGTATCATTGGAATCGCAATAAAATTCTCTACACGGACATATGCATATGAATGTTTAATATAGGTAATTGCCCACCCGCAAGAGTGTGTGAAGTGGAGTAGTTAGCCGCGAGCGCACTGGCGAAAACACGGGGGAAATCATGCTTGGAAAGTTTATACGTTTCCTGACCCTACTTTTCTATGTACGTATTTCTTTTTTATACCAATGTGTTCGCAATAAAATTTTCTATAAGATGAACTGTATAACATTTGTACAAAGCATGTGTAAGAGAAGCGCCAAATATAGAACCACGTCGCTCAGTATGCGTTCGCGGCAGAAACGAACGCATTGTTTTCGTTCGTTTGATGTTTGTCATGTTTATACTTGTTGAAACATTTTATAATTTGTATGACAGTGATCGCAGTAAAATTCCCTACACAGACATATACATAACACATACAAATATTTCCCACGTGTTGGATATATCAACGGCTAAAGGGAACCCACTGCCACACGCTCGCCACACCCCCAAACATACTTTGTGTATTTTTTTTTTTACTCATAGAAGTTTGTGGTATAATAATCATTCTGGTACCAAAACATTCGCAAATAAATTCTCTACAAAACAAAAGTATCCCCATCCATTTCGGTTAAAAAATGGAATTTATAGAAATATTTTTTCGATGGACGAGAAAAGTAGGCAGTTATGCGGAATCGTAAGAGAAAACTGCGACGAGTTATCTCTAATATAAAGCGCGAAAGTGTTAACACTAAAGGTCTGAATTAATTAATAATCGGTGCTATCTGAATCTTCTGACGGCACTAATTTTATGAAGTAAAGGTTTTCTTTGACTTTTGTGAACCCCTATCCGTGCACTGGTATTCTCTCGCAACCTTAGTCACTTGTCAAATGTTTTGTTTCGATAAATTTTGTCTTTTTGCATCCCTTGATACACCATAAAAAATTCAAACGATTAAATACTAGAGAAACATTTAATATGGTGAGAATTGCTGGTTTGTTGTGAGTGGTTGTCAAGGGTAATTTTAGGTTTCTCATCATAACCAATATGATCATGTGCTTCCATATTCAGAAGGTTAAGTGTAGGTGCAAGTAGAATGGTTAAGTTAAAATTGGAGATTGAAGCCGAGTGAATACAGCAAAACTACAGTAGATTATAAATCACTGGGACTGCTATAGTGTGTTATTTAAGGACTTCTCACATTGAGCTCCTTCTCATAATGTAAGATACTAGAAGGAACGGGGGTATTAGTATTTTTTAGCTGATGGGTGTGTAGGTTATCATTTGAAGGTTTGTTGTTCCTTTCTAGTGTAAGAATCTCGGTTGTAGTTAATTTGATGATTTTGTTGAGGTTTATTATGTTCACAGGGTCAATAATCAGTTCAGTGTAGCACCATAGCATCATCCAGAAGTTAAGGTATACTAACAAGACTAACTTGCTTTTGACAATTTTTAAAGTTGTATAGATAATCATGTTTGTTCTTGGCATGATATCAGATGGTTCCTTAAAAGCTTGGATATAAAATAGTAAAATAGATGCTTTGCTATAATTTTAGTGGTGTGGAAGATGCATGGGTGTGGTCTGGTGTGAAATATAATTTTACCAATGCTGGTGTAACAGATGTTTACTTTGATGATTATCTAAATTCTATTTAACAGCCCTGGAAATTTAGCATTTCATCTTTATCCAACAGGGTGGTACAAAAGTCATTTGCAACTACTTGTCCACACTTAACCTCACCAACACCTAAACTACACCACTTTTCTCCCACCCTGTATGTTATCTTGTATCGCTCGCAAATTGCTTAATGTGTGTCATATTGAATTTTGAGTAATGTTTGAGCTGGGAGTGGACAATTGGTTTTCACTGACCTAGACTTAGCTCACATTAGTAAATACAGTACCTCCAAAAGTTGGAAGGGGCCCTAGTGTTTTAGTTGCTCAAGAGCTGCACACAGGCTTCTGAGAGAGTTTGCAACAGCTAGTAGGTCATATTAAACTTTAACCTTTTAATAAATCATAAATCTAGTGCTCTTTGGTCTTGACACAGTTTTGAACAACAAACCTTTACTTGATTATATTCATGATATATACAATGCAGTGACATTTTGTATTTTAATTACAATTAATTAAATTTTATTTTATTTAAGGAGAGGAAGGTGATGATGATGAGGAAGAGGATGATCCAGATTATGATCCAACAAAAGAGAAGGTAGCAAAGGGTCAGCCGCCAGAGTGTAAACAGCAGTGACCATCTAGTAAAATCTAGGCCTTTCTTCAATGACCTAAAGTAGCAACATCTGGGGCCTTTAATTAACATCTATAGTGGCATGAATATGCTGTATGGTTGTATGCAAGTGGCGGTTTGAAAAGTACCATTGCATAGGGAGTTCAAAAATGTTGAAACTGGTTTACTTGACATGTGCAAGATTTCTATGAAGCTAATTATGCAGTAGGATATATTTCCAGCTGTGGAGTGTTCTTGCATTTTAGATTTGTGTAGGAATATATATTTTTTCTTGATATGAAAGAATTGCATAGTGGATTATGTTGAATGCTCAGTCCCCCAGAGTTGCTGAATACCCGATGTAACTAGTAATTTTTCAGTATGGACAATTATTTAATTAGATCTCTTCATATACCTTAATTAAAATTTGTTTCAAAAGAATTGTTAGGTTGATGCCTATAAATAAGTTGTCCATACATATGGTTTAAGTTGTTGGGATAAGTCTACGACTGTTAGTCCGTTATGAGACTAGCAACGTAGGATCTCTAGCTTCATCCATAAGGGTACTCCAAAATTCTCTAAATGTGATATAATGCATATGAATCATTCTTTGCACTTTTCTGTAATCAGTTGAGATTTATAAGTTTTAGGTTAATGAGGAATTATTTTTTACCAGTCACTGCATTACTCAGAGCTTTAACAATGTATTTGATGGCTGTTACGTTGCACTGATGTCCCAGATTCTCTGGATATTTTGGTCATGTAAAAACAAAAGTTCCAGAGAATATTAGTTGGAGGGATTTACAGAGGTATTACATTGTCCTGTTACAGGAGTTCATTAGTGAAATTTTAATGAGGCTCTTATTTACATGGGTGTTAATTGCCTAATAAAGTATGGATAAATGGTGTAATGAGTATGCTTGGTAAATAATTGTAATAGCTTTGTTACCACTACTGCTAATATATATATATGCTCCTTTTCCAACAACTGTTTCTCTACCCTATCCTTGTGTTTTGTCTTGTCTGCAGGAGTTTTCTTAAATGTCAATGTCCTGCACTTGTCCTTTGTGAAATAAAAGTCCTATTTATTGAATATTCCCTTTGTCTCTAAAGCCTTCCGTTCACAATTTGTCTGCTTAAATTTCTGCAGCTTTGGCAGAATGCTGCTAGTTTTTTATTCTTGCATTAATGAAAAGATTTTATGTTCCTTCTAAATATACTATTAGTCTCATTTAAAGCAGGATGTTACACCATTGTCTTGCATTACAGGAGATAAAATGGTAAAAATGCAGTTTTTGCTGTATTTAAAATAGGGCAAATGGGTGTCAGATTTACTAGAGCAAATACTCATATTGCAGGAATTAATGCACTGAAGAATCTTGATATACTGTACTATAAATGTCTGCTGTTTCAAAGTCTAGTGACAATTGCCAGACTCCTATACACACACACTGGTGCAATATGATTATTTTGCTTTCTATTGTAGCCTTTTTCATGTTTTAAGCAATATAATGCTTTACCACGTTTTGAACTGATCATTTTCCAGTACAATGGTTAAATTTGCACGTTCTAAATTTTCTTAGATATTGGCTTTGATGTAACTGCCCTTCTGACTAAAGCCTTGATGTAACCACTGTTGGTTTTCGTGATTGTCATTAGGTTCGTATCTCGCACAGGCCTAAATAGCAAGTTTAACTATTGATAGTCTTGTGTTCTAACTTTAAACTCCAGCACGTGACTAATCAGTAGAGTAATAGTTTCCTGTGTTGATACATTTGATGTTATAAGTTTTGTAAGAACCCTTTAAACCTGATGCTTTGATTATATTTTAAATGTTGCATCTTGTGAAGTCAAATGGCTGCAAACAAGTCTTTCAGAAACTTTTTTGGCTTGACACATGCGCTGCTGGTGAGACTAGAAAACATTAACATAAACATAAAACCAGTATATACTTTCGATCATTAATAGGTATCTACTGCTAACATTAGTTGGTTTACGCTTCAAAAAAAATGACGGCTTTGAGCTTGCCTTCTTTCATAAGATAAATGTCACTTGCCTTGTACTGTCAGCATGTAATGCATGTATTAGTGTGCCATTTTCAAGACCCTAAAACTGCTTGTTTGCATCTTTCTACAGCTGAAGGATCTTATTTGGGGGGAGGGGGCGGGGGTGGCAGTTGACAATATCTGGGAAATGCCTTCATGCAAAAATTTGATACTGTTTAATTTGTATCATTTTGAAAATACCAATTTTTATAATGTGTGATTTAGTCCCCAAATGCCTTGCAACATCTTTTAGTCCAACACTTTATATGATGACCTTAATGGTAATTTTTCTTTTGATGGTAATTAACTTTGTTGAACAAATTATCATCCATATTAAAGTTCAAATAAAATTGGTATAAATGGGTGAATTTCACGCTTTATAGTACTATGTATAAATTTATCCAAATTTTCCTAATTGTTCCTTGAAAAGTACTAGCTGGAAACTTATCAGGGCTGATAAGTTGTTACTGTATGACTCCCCCCCCCCCCCTTGTGCCTGTATTGTGTTAATTTCTAATCAAGTTATGTATGTCAAAATTTATACATTTTCAGCAACCAGATATTACTAGTTTTCTGGGAAGTGGTGTGAAATACACTGAAATAATGTTTGAGGTGGTGGGTAGGAGAGGCACCTGCTGGTCAGCTGCCTCTTAGATGCCTCGGTAAATTATACATTTAACATTTTACATTCTTGGATTTTTGCATTTCTGAACATTTTTTCTCAAATGTTTTAAGATATATAGGATAGGATCGTGTGGATTCAAGTTCCAACTGGATTCTAATGTAAAGTGTAGCAGCTATTTTCAGGAGTGATACAGTCTGCCATCACATGAGCACTGGGGTGATGCATATCTGGTGTCATTAATAGTCTTGTTAAACAGTGTATCACTATCTTTTGACTATTGATATACCTTGGGAGATTTATTTGGACATGCTAATTACTATATTTTAACTTGGATTCTTAAGTAATGAAGACCTGCAGTTTTTGTCCTAATTTTTGGGGGATGGGGAAATTTTGCTTTCCTGTTTTTAGTCATGTTCCCCTCAGTGTATCTGATTACTCGTCTTATTTGCTCTCGTACTTCCTAATTGATGTACTGTATTGGGCTTTTGAATATGTAAATTGTGCTGTGGTTTTGGAAGCTCGGCACTACCTGGTCATCCGAGAAACTCCACGTTTCAAGTAGCTGGATACGTGTAGGTCCTTAAAGTCCTTCTGGATAAAGGTCCACTTGTTAGTTATCTAATTTAGCTTCTAATTTTTTATTTATTCATAACTGATATATTTACATGTATAAAACTTGCCATGCTAATTGTCAGCTTTATATGCTATAAATTATTCAGAACTTGCATACAATTAACAAAAGTACTGTACCATTATTTAATCATAGGGAAGTCATCTTTTTGAAAAGGTAAATGTGATCACTTTTGCACTATTTATAATAGCATTTTCTTAAGTTTGCATTGCTCCAACAATTCTATAAGAAGGAACATTCTTTTCATGGGAAGTTTTCAATACCGCTAAAAGTCTCCCATTTAATATTCCATCTGTCCTCCAATATTTTATTTATTTGTTTTTAATAAATTTTTATTTTGTATTGTAGGTTTGAAAGCTTTCGACCGTTATTCATGCCTCCATCCTTGCCCACTGGCAGAGTTGTTGATCTGTTATTGGTAACAAACTGCGTACTCTTAAGAGTCGTGTGGATTTCCTCCTACCACCGTAATCGGCTCTGGCAAGGTTGCATATCGGCCATACATGCTTAACTCATGGACACTTAATGGAGTGCCACCCTGCTCCTTATTGTCTAAACTGCATTGGCCCTCTGTCGTGCATATCCTAGAGAATGTGACTTTCAGGACGAGCGTGTCTTTTTTTTTCCGACCGTCCCTCGATAGAGTTCTTGGTGAATCGGATACTTTTGATACTGTTCGCTTTATGCGTTTTTCATATTGGCATCCTTAGTAATATTTAGTGCCCTCTGATTATTCCGCACATTTTATGGTGCTACACAGCCTTTTTGGCTTAGTGCCTTCTTTTGATAATTACTTACATGCAACCATTGGAATTGGCCCTTCCCATTTTTCAAAATCCAATATTGGATATTCATCTTTATAAGGCAGTAATTTTGCTGGGTTCCCAAAAATATTGGCATTAGCTCCTAATGATATAACAAATTTTGTCGCTCAAGCCATTTGTGCTCTTCCTGCCTAGAACTTCCCTACTCTGATTTCTCCCATTATTTGCTCTATTGTCTTCCCGGCTTGGTGCCATCTTTTCATAATTGTTATTCAGGATGCATTTTGCAACTGTTAGCGAGAAATGCTTATGAAGCCCTGGTCTGCTTCCTTGATGACTTTGCCATCCTTGTGGCATAGTGGTAACTCAGAGCCCCAACCAGGGAGAATTGACTGGGCATCTATACTTAACTGTTCAAACCGCAGTAATTGGAGACCTGGTTATAAACCAATTTGTGGATTATATTCCAGGGGAAACCTAATAGGGTAGAGCTAAATGTAAGCTAGGAGAAGCAGCTCTATGCCTGCTAAGAGTTATTATTGCTTTCCAATTTTCTGGCTATTGTCACAGCATCATTCTCCCCAGTTCTTGGTTCATCTGTGCTAGGATTTTTCATATACAGCATTATGGTGGGTAATCCATTTTGACTATGTTCGTGTGTGTGTTCGTATCTCTGGCTATGCGTGTTCAGGGATTGTGGCAGTCTAACTGGGTGATGGCTATGCATTTTCTATCCACCCTCGCTATGCTTATGTGGCACTTGGGCAAGTGTTTTGGTGCTACTCTGTGATTCATCTTTCCAGGCTTGGTGCCTTGATTAAATTAATTACCAGGTCCTGCCTTTCTTTTCTTTTCCATAGATCAGTGTTCTCAAGTTATTTTGTTTAATTATAATGTGTACAGTATTGAGGGGGATAACTTGAGAGTCGGCACATATTGTTGAATGTACTGTATTATGATGGTACTTTTTGTGCAAAACCCTCATTGGCTTCCCTTTCTCACCCTTTTGATGGGCATGTGAAGATGGCACAAAGATTATCTGGTCTATCAGTTTACATGTTTTCTAAAGTTTTGTACATTGTCTCCACATGTTTTGTGACATTCATTTGCTTTGGTGTAGGTTGTTTTAGATCTCTAAACTTTTCCTCCCTTAAGGATACCTAAGTTTTATATATTGTTGCAAAGAGACATAAGAAAGTGGATAATTTCACAATAATAAACCAGTGATTTCTTTCAAATCGGCTAGTGATGGATTATTGCTTGATCACTTAATGTTTTTTTTTTTTTTTTTTTAATTAAAATTGTCTATATTAATTAAAGTACATTTTTGCATTACATTAAAGCCCTACGATACAACAATTAATATTACTGCTGTACGGTAGGTCTGACCTACTAGGCTTCAACCAGTTCCAGTCCTGGTTTGGACTTGACATTGTACACTTGAGAAATGTAAAATTGAAAGCTGGTGTAATATTGTGTGTAGGTTTGCCTGGTGTGATTTAGTCCACATAGCCACACGTGTTGCTTATTGGTCACTAGTGTGCGTGTATCACTGCCAATGTCTGCATTAACACCCTTCTCTTGTTATTTTCTTTATTGAATTGGAATTATAATTGAGCTTAATATGTAGCTTTATCTCAACTTCTTATCCAGAGTTAGATTTGATTCGTTTCTGATGTGCAAGATTCTTTGGCTCTTGGTTTTTGTAATGACAGCTTCCAAGCTGTATACCTTGTGTGCATTGTTTATACCACTTTCCTTCTCATGCCTGGTCATTTTACCCATATTACTGTTGAAAATATATTTGCAGATATGTATTTTCCCAATTGTTTTACTTCCATTTGTTAACAAAGTTCCTTAACTATCTCATTTCTTACTTTTCTTGTTATAGACTTATACTGTAATTGTTTGCTCTAAATCAGTGGTTCTTAACCTTTTTTTTTGAGTCATGGACTACTTTGAAGGTCTGGTGAATGCTATGGAAAATCCTCCCTAGAAAAGTGCACGTAAACTGCATACAATGAATATACTTTGTTATTAAAAATTGATATTCTCGTATAATGTATGACAGCACAAAATATAAATAAACATCTATGGACCCCAGGTTAAGAACCCTGCTATTAATGGTACATGACAATAGACTTGTTTTATTTTTTTTTGGGGGGGGGGGGGGACAGGACCGATGTATTTCCCTACACAGCTTAGTTATATACATGTGCTTAACATCTCAAAATGTATGGATATGTATTAACCCTTGCTTGGTATCTGAATTGCACTTATTTTAGAGAAAGAATTTTCTACAGGTGTGTACAGTGCTAATATGTCTGCAGGTGTGTGTAGTACTAATATGTCTGCAGTCTTACACTTGTATGAAGGTAACTGTTGATTGTGTGAATGGGTCAAATTATCCACGCAGTGTCCTCATGCTATGACTCAAATATTTATAAACATAGGTATCTTTATATATAAAGATAAGAGAAAATAGTTATATGAATAGTTCATAGTATAATACATTTGCCATTATGTTATAAGTTATCAATTGTTAGGGTCATAGATTCCCTTGGCTATAGTGCTGTATGTGGTAACATTATTCATTTTGGTGTGTTTTAGCCCCTTATGAAAACCAATATATATATACATACAGTATTTGTCTAAACTTAGCAGTTAACATTAAACAGTAGGTCCTTGAATGTGATATCCTATCCTAATAGGTGAAGAAGTGTAAGATACGGGCATGTCCCGGTCTGTGGCACCCCCTGACTGCCTGTCTCAGCCAGGTTAAGCACAAGGGACTCATTCTTGATGTTTGTTCTTTACCTATAATTCCTTAATGTTCTATATTTTGACCTAAAAAGAGCATCTGTGGGGGACCAAAATAGTAAACTACATGAAGACATGGTGCTTTAGTTAATTTATTTACACATTTACATGTTAGAGAGGGTGAGGAAAAGTTTCAGAAATGGCCTGTTATTTAATTTTACATGTCATTTAATACATGTGTTGAATCTCTTATAATTGTAGTTTCTATAATACACATTTGACAAAAATCCCTGAATAAATTATATGCTATTGTGATAATAGTTTTTCAGTGAAATGATGTTTACCCAGTGAGGTGAACGCACTCATTAAGTAGATGTTTTCGGGCTTACATTTGAAAAACAACTTTAGCTTTTAGCTTTAAACTAAGAAATGAAGGTTGTGCATTTTTCCACAATGTTTAAAATCATTACCCATGTACCATAAGAGATGGGTTTGTATATATTTACTTTGCCACAAGGACATCGGTGACACTTGAGACGTGCACAGTTTTGTATAGGAATTAGAAGCAGAATAGAGTTAATACTCGATGGAAAAGTAAAGTTAACATACAATGGGCAGAAATGGTGATACTCATTGAGATGCAATATAACTGATGAGTTTTCCTTCAGCATATTAGTTTAATGTTTGAGTTTAATAGGACAAACGTTAAGAAAGAACAAGGATTTTCATGATTGTTGACCAGACCACACACTAGAAGGTGAAGGGACGACGACGTTTCGGTCCGTCCTGGACCATTCTCAAGTCGATTGTCGACTTGAGTATGGTCCAGGACGGACCGAAACGACGTCGCCCCCCGCACCTATTGTGTGGTCTGGTCAACATACTTTAGCCACGTTATTGTGACTCATCGCCTGCATATGGATTTTCATGATTATTCTTTGATGGATTAGAGGGGCTACTTGTTGATTCAGAGGATCAACATTACCACGGCAGGGTCTCTGCCAGGCCTTCTGGTCGCTGGTCCTGATCAACCAGACTGCTCACAGCCATGTGCTCAGCCTGGTTGATCACGTTAGGAGCAGATTAAATTACTCTAGAACAAGTTGGTACTGTATTATCAATATGCGTATCTGCTACGGTATTTGCTATTTAAATTTTGGTTGTTTTAAGATGGGGAAGATAGTCATTAAGATTAACATTTATTCTAGTGTGGGTTGCCTCGACCTCTCCCTCATGCAGGTCATTGGTGGCCTGATAGCTGAGTGGACAGCGCTCGGAATTCGTAGTCCTGAGGTTCCGGGTTCGATCCCCGGTGGATGTGGAAACACATTGTCAGTTTCACCCTGATGCCCCTGTTCACCTAGCAGTAAATAGGTACCCGGTAATTAGACAGCTGCTACTTTATGCTTCCTGGGGGTGTGTAATATAAAGGAGGCCTGGTCGAGGACCGGGCCGCGGGAACGCTAAGCCCCGAAATCATCTGGAGATAACCTCAAGAAGGTGCACCTGGGGGGCCAAGGTGGTGTACACGCCCCATCAAGCACTAATTTCCCCTCAACCCCCAGCATACCATAATCCAGTATGATCTCCAGTGTTCCGTGTCCTGTTTGCGTATGATTTATCATTCTTATTATTATACATGTTCTTCAATTTAATATATATATATGGTTTTAATACCAGTTATGAATTACCTTTTATGATTTCACAGTTTCGACGCTTTGTGTTTGTCTCCAGGAGTAGATGCTTGGTGCTCGTCGTGGTTTTTCCTTTCCTTCCGCTCCAGCTTTTTCTGGTACCCTTAACTACTGTTCTCTGGTTCCGGAACCATATTTCCTTCATCCCCCCTTCTTTTTTAGTCGGACGTGCACTCCACTGTCGCTCGTATATACCATATATTCCATTTACATTTTGCACCCTCGAAATATTCTTGTTTCTCTTCTCGATCTTAATTAATCTTAAACTGCCCTTAGACTCAATGTCCGAGCCTGTGCCCCTTTTGGGTGATTTTAAATATCGTCGCCCTCTGGGGCGATGTTCTTACTAATACCCAAGGCTGTCTTCTAGCACCTTTTATCCTGCCTGAATTAAGAAGGACGTAGGCTCCTACACTCGCACTTTTTCCTGTATTTAATCTTTCTTCACTTCTATTTATGCAGACCTGACATGGAGATTTCTTGATGACCTGCATAGCAATGACCATTTCCCCATCCTCATATTCCTTTTTTCGTTCCGCCCAACACACACTGTCCCTTGGTGGTGGTTCGATAAGGACTACAGGAATCTTTTTCACCCTCCAAGCTAATCTGATCTGCCTCGCCCTCACCCCCTCATTTTTTTCACTACACCATATTCGATGGTTCCTTCCGCTCTTCCTCGTTATGCCTTCCGTGGAACACGAAAGTGCTTTCCTTCGTGGGCATTAGGATTGTTGAGGTTGTACACTATAAATATGTGTCTTGGAAAAAGTACCGATTCTGGTAAACACTTGAATCCTTTATTCTGTTTCTGAAGGAGAGTGCGGTGGCCATATAGCTTCAAGTGAGAGTTGGAAATCTACCATTATTGTTGACACCCTTCTCCCTCGTGCCTGGAAGAAAATCTATAAGATTGCAGGTAAATTTGTTCCAGACAGCGCTTGTCCTTCACCTCTGTGGTTCCATTGTTGTAGATCCGTTATTGTTCGCGAATGAACTTTGTTCCCATTTTTCAGCCGGTATCTGATACTCATCTTCGGAAAGATGGGTATCGGAGATACCGGTTAATTATCCGGGAAGACTGTAGCACAATCTGTATCGCGCGATATTCAAAATACCCTAAATATAATTTAGGATGCCAGTCCGAGAATAAAGGGGCAGAAAGAAAACTACATCAAAGGTATCGGATTCACCAAGGATTCTACTTAGGAATAGACTTAGTAAAGCCTCGGGAAACCAAAACGAACGATCTTCCAGAAAATCTGAATATTCTATAAGAAGGTGCATGACTGCAAGTGGGACAGTGCAGTTCGAATAGGAGCAGAACGTTGTTCCATTAAGGGACCTTGAGTTAAGCGATTGTGACCGATATGCAACCCAACCAGAGCCCAACCCCATCGTGTATTATGGCGGTAGGAGGAAGGCCAAGAGGAAAAGTCACTTTTAAGAACACACAGTTTGTGACTTGGAATGTCAGCCCAATGACCTTGCCAAAAGTTGTGGATTGCAGAATGAGTAATTAGGTAGAAATTCGAATAAGGAATTTCTTTCCGGGGAAATCTTGCAAGTACGATGGCCTCCTTAGGTGTCCGCAAGTTCATTCCACTGTTTATATCTGCTAATTAAGGAACTGGTCGAATTTGATTTCGAGCATCACAGGGAGCAAAAACACTCTAATCACGAGGGAACTGCGAGAGTCAACCGTAATGACAAGGACGCTGACGCCGAAAAAGCCTACAAAACTGAATGAAGCTCTACCGTGATGATGGTAGAGCGGCACATATTTGGGTTGATAAGAAAAACAAGAGAGTAGCCAACATTTTCAGCAGACTTAAAATCCATCTGTGAACAGTGGATTGGAATGTGATAGGAAAAAATTTAAAGGAAATGACTTTAAAAAATGGTAGAAGTATGAACTTTCACCATGTGGGTCAGGCAGGAAGAACACGAAGGGAAGACATAAGGAGAGAGACTTTGCTCTTTCTGCCCGAAACGCTTTGCGTAATAGTGGCTTTAGGCATAGTATGTACTAGTTCTATCTATAAATATATCAATTTTTGTAAAATCTCTTGTATGTATGTACCTTACCTGAATAAACATTTATTTATTTACATTGTAAATGTGGACCGAGAGAGAATCTTGCAACTTATCCACCCTTGTTGGAAACGTTAAGTGGTGAGAGGGAGCTCGTCCTCCTGAGAGCCAGTGGTCAAAGCACGACACAAGCTGCAGCTCCGATGTCACAGCGACCGCGCGAGGTAGGGAAGGTAGTAATGATTACGATGGTCCTGTAGAGACAAGACTCCGGTTTCAACATACAAACTGTTAGGATTAAATTCCAAAACAACTTTGAGAAGCAACGGAAAATTAGCACAAATAAACAAAAGTTCCAGATAATACAGAAATCCAGACCTCATTATCCTTGACAACCGCCCGATCCAATATGCGGATGTAGGCAGAATACTGGGACTCATGATCAATAGAACAGGGATAAAAATTAACGTAAGGGACCAAGTAAACAAAGCCAAAGCAGCTTTAGGAAAACTGAGGAGATTCCGAAGCCTTAGTACAAACATACAGATACACTTATATAAGGCTCTAGTTCGGCCGCATCTAGAATATTCCCCAGTACCACGACACACCTTATGGCTACCCGACTGTTAAAAGTCATTGGTAGCCTAGGTTACTCCATCCAATGACCCAACAGCAACTCTGCACCCACAGACCAGGAGATCGTTTTCACTGACAATTCACTTATTTGAGAGAACACGAGCCCCAATTTTGACAGTAACTTGCATGAACCACAAGCGATTATATATCAGACAGAGCTTCTCTCGTGAAAGGTTCAAACTCTAGACTGACAGGTGTAATGAACACACTGACAAGTCCAGTACACTCACCATACGGCTACCCGACTGTTAAGTCATTGGTACACTGACACCTGTCACTCTAAGGTTTGAAAAAATCACGAAATATAAACACGTGATTAAAAATGTGAGTGTCAGACCACGGAGGAAAATTGAAACAGGACTTTCCTTAGGTACTTTCGTATATTAATACATCTTCAGAAGGAGTGATTTTACAGGTCAAGTATTGGACATATATAGGCAGGAGAGAATGGTGGAGTGAGGTGAAGTACAATAACAAATGAATGGGAATTAGGTGGACACAAATATGAGCCGCACAAGAACTGCAGAAGGCCTATTGGCCCATACGATGCAGCTCCTATCCATACCCTCCAACAGGTCCACACATGGATAATAATAGCATAAGATAGTAAATATTTACAATGAATTAGTGAGATAAATGTGTTCCAATGATCCTACTCAAATCGCCCTTTAATTGATCTATTAAAAATGAATCTAAGTTATATAAACCACTGCTAATTAATGTTCAAATTACTTTCTTTTGTAATCTGTATCAAAGCAGATTCAATTATGTTTCTGTTATAAGTGATTTTACAATTCACTCACCAAATTGATTGGGAGATGGCTTCTTCAATAACGAATTGTAAAAGCTCCCATGGGTGGAGGTGGGCGGCCACTGGGTGGGGGAGGAGCCGCCCATGGGTGGCGGTGGGCGGCCACTGGGTGGGGGAGGAGCCGCCCACGGGTGGCGGTGGGCGGCCACTGGGTGGGGGAGGAGCCGCCCACGGGTGGCGGTGGGCGGCCACTGGGTGGGGGAGGAGCCGCCCATGGGTGGCGGTGGGCGGCCACTGGGTGGGGGAGGAGCCGCCCATGGGTGGCGGTGGGCGGCCACTGGGTGGAGGAGGAGCCGCCCCAGGGTGGGGGAGGAGCCGCCCATGGGTGGCGGTGGGCGGCCACTGGGTGGGGGAGGAGCCGCCCATGGGTGGCGGTGGGCGGCCCATGGGTGGTGGGGGAGGAGCCGCCCCTGGGTGGCGGTGGGCGGGGGCCAGCAGAGGTGCGCGCGGCGGCGCCAGTGTCGTCTGCTGGTCAGTTGGTTGTAAACACACAGGATGGGAGGAGGTGGTGGCGCCTGCTGGGCCGCCCGCCGACACTCGCCACCTTCACCCACTAAGGATTAACTCGCCGCCAGGATCACCACACAATGTCCCTCAGGGTGAGTGGGTGCTGTGGCCACTGTGGCATCTTGTCACCTTATTGATTTCAGCAGTGGCGGCTCTGCAATACAATGTCTGCAGCGCCGCCTCCTGCTGCTGCCTCCGCTTGCCGCTACTTGCTCTTCTCTTTATTTATTCATGAAGTTTAATCAAAGTTGTGTAGGTAATGTGTTGTGTGTACATGTGAGGGGCTGTTATGATTGGTTGTGACCACACCTGCCTGTGGTCTGACCCTCTGGTCGCTTGTACTACACCTCTGATGTCTCGACTCACACCATTACATCACATACCATCAACACACAGGCAACACATACATGTAACACACATACGGCAGCACACACAACACCCCCACACAACCCCCTCCCCCCACACACAACACCTCCCCCCCCACACAGATCACTCCCCCTACATACAACCCCCCCTACACACCGAATACTCCCCCCCACACACAGAACACTCCCCCCACACAGAACACTCCCCCACACAGAACACTCCCCCACACAACACTTCCCCCCACACAGAACACTCCCCCCCTACACAACACCTCCCCCCCACACAACACTTCACCCCCACACACAACACTCCCCCCCCCCACATAGTCAACTCACCCTTCACACAACCTGACCAACCCATGCCCGTCCCGCACCCTAGTCTGTCCCCCTGCAAAGTTTGGTGAGGCTAGCCTCAGACGTCTGACCTCCAACCTTGGTACAACAAACACATATTTTTTCTTATAGATATAAATAAGGGCAAAAGAAACCTGGAGATCAATACTGACATAAGTAGTAGACAATAATGTCTTGCTGGCACACAGTGTGAGAGAACACAGAGCTGGGACACCAACCGACCAGCACGGACAGGCCAGCGGCCTGATTCACGAAGCAGTTACACAAGCACTTACGAACGTGTACATCGTTCCTCAATCTTTGATGGCTTTGATTACATTTTTTAAATAGTTCATAAGCATGAAAACGTACCAATTAACTGTTATTGTTATAAACAGCCTCCTGGTGCTTCGGAGCTCGTTAACTGTTTAATAATTGTAAACAAAGCCGCCAAAGATTGAGAAAAGATAAACAGGTTCGTAAGTGTTTGCGTAACTTCTTCGTGAATCTAGCCCCTGGTCTTCGTACCAAACGACCAGGATATTGACAGCACTGAGGATGAAACACCATTCCAATAGGTGATTGGCTACTGAAAGGCTAGGCTTATGAGTAGGTCATCCAGCACGGGTGAAGGGAGGTAGTGGATAACACAATGAAGAGAATGAAGAATAGGGCGACATAATCACGACATACAAAATTATAAGTGGCATTGATAATATATACAAAATGCGATGTTCTTCACAGGTTACCGGAGAATTAAGACACGTATGGAAAATAGTTAGGTCATTACGCCCTTGGACATTTATTTATTTATAAGAAGTTACATTGGGGGGTTGACAGAGAATATAGAAAATAAGTTGAATTAACATTCTTGTAAAGACACTTGCACGCATAGCGTTTCGAGCAAGTCCTTAAACTAACAATTTTTTTTTTTATAAATTTTACAACTTTTCTTTACAGGTACAGATAATTTTAAGTAGAATAATTACAGTAAAATCAACAAAATGTTTACAGGTAATTTGAAGACATTTTGACACAAAAGCAGATCAGAATAATACACAATAATAACAATATACAATAAACAAGGATTACTAGGTACATGAGGATAACATTTCAGGGTTATACATTAGTTCACTGAAGCACAATATGAGGATCATTTCGAGGAAAAGTTTCAAGGAATAATGCAGTAGAAAATGCACTCAATACAACAACCATGATATCAGATGATATCTAAGATTACAATGGTAAAGTAATATGGCTTAGGTAGAAATATTGGGAGGATTGAGTAGCACTAGATACAGTGTGAAGATGACATGCCAGGACATTCTTCACCATAAGAGTAGGAAATAATTATATTGGGTTAGAACAAAACGCACCATAAGACAACTCGATTGGAAACATTGGTAGAAGAAGTAAGTTATATATAATGATCAATAACTGGCAAGGTGGCGCCTGCCCCACACACGCATGCATGCATGTACGAACAGTCATGGGCGCTCACGTACACAGTCGCTCGCATTCACACGCACGGAGCACGCATGTACCAGCACACACTCTCGATATAATTGGCCGTACATACAACAAAAGAACCAGAGGTAGCATATAAATATTGTTGCACTTGAACACACATGTATCAGCTTTTAGGAGCCTTTGTCGCTTGTTGTGGTATTTCGTCCATGTGAGAATTGCCCGCCACAGCCTCCGAGTAATGACCCAATGAGGGCGAGTATGGTGTTCAGTCGTTACGTGCCAGCAGGCAGTTGCTGCAGTGTGGTGACAGTGATTTTTCTCATTTAATTTCTTTATTATACACCCCATACCCATGCCGTGGGGGGTGGTGGGAATGAGTTCCAGAGGCACATAATGGGTTCAGGAACCCCAGAGTTCGTTTATCTAAGCAAGTGACACTGGTGAAGCTAGTTACACAATTGTTAATATTACAAACACGTGTGCATATACATGTACACAAATACATATACATATCAATAATATTTTAATATTTTACAAGTGATTCAATTAGAGGGTGACAAGCGTGTGTATACAAGGCACTTGGCGGGCCTTATATAAGATGGTGCCATGATAAACAGGAATTCTCTCACTTCCGTATCATCTAAGCTCTGGAGTTATATGGACGGAAATTATTATTATATGTTATTGTTATAAAGAAAAAACACAGTATTATAGATCACTAAGAACGCAATATGACCCGGCCAGGATTCAACCCCGAGACGTCCAGGATCACTCCTAAATGTCATATTGAGTTAAACTACCTCCCTCTGGTCGTGTAAGGTAACAGGTGTGTGAACAGGTGTTGGGATGGGTAACAGGTGTTGGGAGGGGTGTAGCGGGTATGTAGACAGGTGTTTGTATAACAAGTGTGGTGGAACTTGGCTCCATACGGGCAGATATTGGTCTATATTTTCCATCAATAATTTGGACAAAAGTAGCGCTGATGGCTCTCACCCGAGTGGTGTGTGACCACAGTACTGGGGTTCTTATTGATCTGTCTTCAGCGTTTATTGCTAACTTGTGTTTCTTTCCTGGTGGTGAGGCGCGCTGATTTCAGTCTCTGTGGTGTAGTGGTAAGACACTCGCCTGGCGTTCCGCGAGCGCTTTGTCATAGGTTCGTATCCTGGCCGGGGAGGATTTACTGGGCGCAATTCCTTAACTGTAGCCTCTGTTTAACTCAACAGTAAAATGTGTACTTGGATGTAACAACGATTCTTCGCGGCGGGGATCGTATTCCAGGGACCTGCCCGAAACGCTACGCGTACTAGTGGCTGTACAAGAATGTAACAACACTTGTATATATCTCAAGAAAAAAAAAAGTATGTAACTGGCTGACGTGCACCTGATTACTGTTGAGGTCTACAAGCCTGCTTGTCCTCATTTTACAGCTGAACTCATGCAACCATTGTTAAAGGGTTTCTATCCCTGTAACTAGTGCGGCTGCATCTTGGTTTAATTGGAAGAGGATCTCTCCGAATGTCATATTTGCTCAAGATTGACGAAAAGAACAAAAACTATAATATGTGTTATACTTATTATAATTTACACAACGTTTCGAACCTACAAGGTTCATTCTCAAGTAAGGAGTGACAGGACATGATTGATGAAGATTAAGCCACCCAAGAGGTGGCACGGGCATGAATAGCCCGTAAACAGGACATGAGGAAACATCTGATGTATAACACTGGGAGGTCAGTTGCATACAAAAATACATGAGGTGAAGTTGTTGTTTTAGATTCAGCTGCTGGGAACAAAAGTTCCAAGTAGCACGGGCTATGGTGAGACTGTAGTGGACTTACCTGGCACAGGAGCGGGGCTGTAACTGTACGTGGGGTGAATGGGGAGAGAAATAAGAGTAGAGAGAATGTGTGATGATGGGCCAATAAAGTAAGCTTACGAGGTTAAGTCAGGTGATACGGTAATGAGAAGTTACACCACGTGATAATGATCCACGACCCAAACGTTATCGTCCCATATACTGAGGTGCGCTCTACTCACCATTAACCACGTTATTGTGACTCGTCTGCACGGAAGGTCGTGTTTAGCTCCTCCATTCTGTCACATATATATATATATATATAAATACAAATTATGGGTAGGAGTTTCAGCTCCTCCTTCAAGTTGATGATTCTCGTGCATCTGGGGGCTGCAAGAATTATCCTCGTGGCTTCGATTTATTTTGTTGTAATGATGTCCAACTGGTGGTGGGGAGAGTTGGAAGGTGCAGTGCCTGGGAGTGCCGGATGTCCCTCGCTGCTTGAGGCCCAGTGAAGGGACTGTGAGGGACGGAAGCTTGGGCTCTGCTGTTTACCGTCCTACGAGGCAGACCGTGTACCAGAATACGGCGAGCGTTGTTGAACCAGAACCCTGGTTAGTGTTTTGTGTGTAGCCAGTGTGTGCCGTGCGTGTGTGCAGCCCGGGAGCTGGGGCACAACTGTTAGAGGGTGTGTAAGCAGCCCGTCTTCCTAAGGTTTCCCTGTGTCAAGAAAACGGTCAGTTTAAAGTGGTCTCTCCTAACCTACCAGAGGACCCGAAACAGAAAACGAGACAGTACGTCACTTTCGCCAGCTACTTCCATTTTCTAGTACGACAATTTTTGGCCTTATGTAACACAAGCGAGCGAAAAGCGACGGTCTTTGTGAGAGGACAAGTTGTGTGAGATAATAGACTCTGGGAGAAAAGTTGAGAGTGTCGGGGTAAGAGGTATATTGTGTATCCTGGAGACACTCACAGCCACCCAGCTCCGGTCCACACCCACAGTCACCCAGGCTCCGGCCCACATTCACAGTCACCCAGGCTCCGGCCCACACCCACAGTCACCCAGGCTCCGGCCCACAGCCACCCAGGCTCCGGCCCACACCCACAGCCACCCAGGCTCCGGCCCA